GGAGGAAAAGAAGACTCCATGCTGGCGAATGGAAGGCCTGGCTTTCACAGGGGGTCAGAAATGGTTCTGAATACATGACAGTCAAGTAGAAAGCTGCAGTCTGAAAAGGACTTAGCCTTGCTAGGACCACGGAGACGGCTGTAGATGAGCAGAAGCGTTGCAACACGAGAGGCCATCTTTGAGCAGGAATTCATTTCAGGTGGGGATGGCTGTGACTATCAGTAAACAGACTCTGGGCAGCAAGGTCTGCTGAGCACAGTGGGATTACAAAAATGTATTTTATACATATGTTCAAAATTAGCTTGAGTTAAGAATCGTGACCTGGAGCTAGAAAGATAGCTTAGAGATTAAGAGCACTGGTGGCTCTTCCAAAGGACCCAGGTTCAATTCCTAGCACTCACATGGCAGTCGAGGGAATCCAACTCCCTCATACTTGCAGGCAAAACACTAATGTACATAAAATAAAAACAAATAAATTAAGGAAAAAAAGAAGCATGACCTGGAGCTGAGGACAAATCTTAGTGTACACAGGTTTCACTTTAGCTGATGATAATAATAGCAGATTTTCAATTTATTTTTCAATGTTTTTGACAAACAATGAATATTGTATCTATATATGAGGGGAATTTGAAAGTTCCACCTTCCTAAAAAATGGTAGAGTGTCAGAAAAAGCAGTGACCCCATCCCACAGCTTTGCATGTGGAGGGCTTCAGCATCTTTTAGACTTAACATTGGTCTTCCCTATGTGTAACATGTATGTCCTCGGACACTCTGGTTTTTGCTCAGTGTCTGTTTCCTTTTTGAAAACTGAGAGTATATTTTGGATACTCTCAGAAAGGATTGAGCCTCGCTAGGACACCAGAGGAGGCCGTGGAAGCCAGCAGAGTCTACCTGTAGAATCTTTGAGAGGATCAGCTAGTGTGTGGAGAGCTTGCAGCAAGCTCCACATGTGGCTTTCTCAGCAGAACTACCTGGAGAAACAAACCACTGCCAAGAACCCCCAGACCCCTAACAGTAACCAGGAATGTAAGATTGGAAAAACAAAGAAACGAAAACCTCTGAGGCATGTATTTTATTTGTGTCCCGTTTTCATAATAACTGTAATGAATAATTTTATATACTATAAATTGACTCTTGACGTATGCATTTAAGTAGTAATTTAATACACAAAGTCATGCTTACTAAGACTAATTTTTTAAATGTGCATACAGTGCCCTCAGGGGCCAGAAGAGAGCACTGGATCCCCAGGGACAGGACTTCAAGGTGGTTGTGCACCACCATGTGGTTGCTAGGAATTGAACTCAGAGTCCTCTAGCAGTCTGTGAGTGCTCTTAACTGCTAAGCCATCTCTTGAGCCCTTACAGATCACTTTGTCATTCCTGAGGGACTTTATAACATTTCCTCTCCCCAGGTCCTCCTCATTCTCCTTTCTACTCAGCCCCTGGCAACCACTGAGTTTGGTATATTACCATATTTTCTCATTTGATTTTTTTATAGAAATAGTGTTGGATAATATTTAGCCTTTGATGTCTATCTTCTTTAATGTAGTCCAATGCTTAGAATGATCAAATAAGTTATAAAATTTATCAGTATCCCATTTTTTTTTAAGGTTTTTCGAGACAGGGTTTCTCTGTGTAGCCCTGGCTGTCCTGGAACTCACTCTGTAGACCAGGCTGGCCTCGAACTCAGAAATCTGCCTGCCTCTGCCTCTCAAGTGCTGGGATTAAAGGCATGTGCCACCACCACCTGGCCCCAGTATCCTATTTTTAAGAACGAATAATCATAGTGAAGATTTACTGTTTTTCTTCATTGTCATGGAGTTGGACATTTGGATTGTTCCTAACTTCTTTGACATTTATGATCAGCGCTGCTGTGAACATTTTCGTACAGCTTGAGTGAATAGGTGTTTACTCTCGGGTTTATATCTATGAGTGGGTTTGTTAAGTCATATGGTAATTCTGTGTTTCATATGTCTCCCAGCATCTGCATTTGTCAGCTCCCCAGCAGTGTCTGAGGGCTCCAGGTTCTTAGCCTCTTGGTGACACTTGTTACCTACCATGCGTTATTCTTTCCTGCCATCTTAGTGCAAGTGAAATAAATGTCCTTGCAGGTTTGACTTTCTATTGCTGATGATGTCCAACATATGCTTGTGAGCTTACTGACCATTTGTGAATCATTAAGTAAATGTCTATTCAAACCTTCTGTCTGTCTTTAACTATGTTATGAACCTGTAATCCTTAAATTGCAAGTCTTTGTGTCTGTGTACAAAGCCATTGTCAAGTATTTGATTCAAAGATGTTTTCTTCCATTTGTTTTCTCTATCTTGATGGTGTCTTTTTTATTATACAAATTATTACATCCAATTTATTTATTACCTTGTCATCTTGATGTTGCTGTTATGCATAAGTAAATTTTGTATAGTTCAGGAATATCTAACCCAGGCCACATGCATTGCAGACAACCATGGATGTGACTGAATACAGTTGTCATGTTGTGTCAACAGGTTGGACACTCCCAGGTCCAGATCAGGAAAACTTAATCCTGATTCTTTCTAAAAGTTTGATAGTCTTAGCTCTTCTCTTTAAGACTATGACTTTTTTTTTAAATTAATATTATATATGGTATGAAGTCAGGGCACAAATTTATTCTCTCAAGTGTATCTAGTTTCTGCTACATCTTTTGTTGGAATGATTATATTTCCCAGATTAAATTTTCTTGACAGTCCTGTCCAAATTCAGTTGACCATGTGCTAATATAACATATGGGTTTCTTTCTGACTTGTCAAACTTGTCGTGTTGATCTATAAGTCTGTTGAAGGTGCTAGGGATCAAATATAGGGGGAGGCACATGCTAGCTACAGCCTCAGGTCCACAATGTATTGGTTACTATTGCTTGTGAACCTACAGTTTGGAGTTCATTGTCTGTTATTGTTTTGTTTTGTTTTGTTTTGTTTTGTTTCCTCATATTATTTTAGTTCTCTGGTTCTTTACACTTCTGTGTGAATTTTAAGGTCAACTTAAACTGTCTGTAAAAGAAAACATGATCATTAGTGTCGGGGCTACTGACATCTTTTTTATGACAGTCTCAATACATAGATGGTCCAGGCTGTCATGGAACTCAAGGTCCTCCTGCCTCGGCCTTCCAGGTGCTGGAATTACAGGCATTTGCCACCACACCCAGCAAGTACTGCCATCTTAACAATGTTGCTTTTCTGATTGAAGACCATAGGAATGGGCTATCTTTCCAGTTGGTTGGAGTTTTAATTCCATTTAGGGATGGCTTATAGTTCTCAGTGTACAAATCTGATACTTACTGTTAAATTTATTCCTAAGTATTTTAATTTTTGATGCTATTATAAATGGAATATTTTTAAGTTTATACTCTAGCAGTTTGTTCCTATTTAATTGGAGGCTTTTTCTATTGTAGCGAAATGTATGTAACAAAGAAGTTACCTTTTTAAAAACAATCTTTTTTGTTTTGTTTTGTTTTTTTTTTTTTTTTTTTTTTTTTTTTTTGGTTTTTCGAGACAGGGTTTCTCTGAGTAGCCCTGGCTGTCCTGGAACTCACTCTGTAGACCAGGCTAGCCTCGAACTCTCGAACTCAGAAATCCGCCTGCCTCTGCCTCCCAAGTGCTGGGATTAAAGGCGTGCGCCACCACCGCCCGGCTTGTTTTGTTTTGTTTTGTTTGTTTTTGTTTTTTGAGACAGGGTTTCTCTGTGTAGCCCCAGCTGTCCTGGAACTCACTCGGTAGACCAGGCTAGCCTTGAACTCAGAAATCCGCCTGCCTCTGCCTCCCAAGTGGTGGGATTAAAGGCATGCACCACCACTGCCTGGCTAAAAAAAATCACTTTTAAGTATACAATTTATTAGTAGATTTATTCACAAAACTCATAATGTTCTGTGACCATTGTTTGTAACTTTTTAGCATTCCAAATAGAAACATTTTTACCAACTAAGCAATTAATGTTCCTTACCCTTCCTCTTAGACAGTAATAGTCCTCAGACTTCCATCCCTGGATCTATGTGAAGAATGACATGTAAGCAGGATCACTGCATGTCTAGTTACTTCAGTTAGCATAAGCTCTCCAGCGTTTTTCCCACTAGTGAAATGTATATAGTATAGTATCAGAGATGTATAGTATCACTTCATCTTGCAATGATATCTCATTCTAAGGTTATACTATATCTTGTTTGCATACTTACCTGCTGATAGATCCATCTTCTCTTTAAGCTACTGTGAGAAAGGCCACAGTAGATATTGGTGTTCTGTACTTTTCATCAGAACCTTTGCAGGTGGCTTTGCTAGATGGTATGGTAATTCTGTGATTACTTCTGCGAGGAACTTCCAAACTTTTCTGACAGCAGCTTCAGCATTTTACACATTAATCAGCAACGCATGATAATTTACATTTTCTACATTTCATCAGCACTTGTTATTTTCCTTTTAGAGGGATTAACAGTCATCTTAAATGGAGGCAGATGTTTATTTTAAATTGAAAACTGAACTTCATTCAGTAACCTTTTAAACTAGTAAAACTTCTGATCAGACAGGCATATAGGAAGTATTTTGCAGAAAAATGAAGACACTTTGTAAATTTTTCTCTACTTACTGTTAGCTTGTTTCTTTATTGTAATTATAATTTATGTATTTTGTTATATAAACAAGGTAAAATGAGGGCTTAGCTCAGTGTTAAGAGCCCTGTCTGTTCTGTCAGAGGTCCTGAGTTCCAGAGGTCTGGAGTTCAATTCCCAGCAACCACATGGTGGTTCACAACCATCTGTAATGGGATTAGATGCACTCTTCTGGTGTGTCTGAAGACAGCTGCAGTGTGCTTCTATAAGTAAAAAGTAAATAAATCTTTTTTTTTTTAAAAAAAAAAAGAAGATAAAATGATTCAATGTAAATTTGGAACTGTTAGCTATATATTTATATATGCATATGTGTATATATACTATGTAAGTTTGGAATCTCTGTTTCTGTCTTTTCCATGACATTAAAGATGACGGATTCCACCTGTCGAGGTATGCCAGGCAAGGGTGAAGACATCTGTAGGTATTTCTTGAACCCTTTGTTAATGCCAGAATGTTCATCAACAACTGTGAAAAAGAAACCAGAAGACTTAAGTGACCTGCCCTCGGAAAGCCTGCGGAGTGTCCCGCTTGCTGTGGCGGACGCTCTGGAGCACATTATGGAGCAGCTCAACATCCTAACACAGGTGGGCTGACCTCCGCCTCGTGAGTAGGGCAGGGAGAGCCGTCCTGGGTGGAGCCACCTCCCGAGTAAGGCTGGGAAAGCAGTCCTGGGTGGAGCAGGATGTGGGACTGACAGCCAGGGGAGTTCTTCCTGGCAAACTCAAATAGTCATTAGCCAGGCACTTAGGGCTAACCTAGTCTGAGAAAATCTGTAGAGAGCAGCATCTCAGAATCACTCTCTCTCTTTCAGTGTGTGTGTGTATGTGTGTGTGTGTGTGTGTGTGTGTCCGCATGTGCTTGTGCACACTTCTGTTTGTGTGTACATGTATACACATGCACATTGTTCTGTCTGGCATTTGTATCTTCTGTGCAAACAGCAGTGGTCGTATTCTTTGCTGTATATGCCATTTGGTCCTAAGCAGTAATGTTCTGTCCTTTGAAATTGTGATGTGGTATATGTATATTAGGTCACTTATAAAGAAATATTTAATAGCATAATATTGCCAAAGTTTATAGTGTTCACTGAAAATGCTCTGCCAGCTCAGCGTGTAGTGTCTCTGTGCAGAGTTTCTTCTAAAAGAGAAGGAAGCTTGTCTTCCTATTTTAAAATCTTAGCCAGTCTTTTAAGACCATCCTACCAAAACAAAGAATAGCGGACCTTAAATACTGGACTAAGAATCTCCCGGGTCTTGGGAGGTATAGACCTGATCTAAGGGAAGTCTTGTGTTGGAATGGAAACAGCCGTGGTACACGTTCTGCCAATGGCATCCTTTGGAGACGTCTCCCGTTGTCCTCTTTGTTCACACTTTGCTGTGTACAGCAAGCACTGTTTGTTTGTTGGTTTTTTTTTTTTTTGGTTTTTCAAGACAGGGTTTCTCTGTGTAGCCCTGGCTGTCCTGGAACTCACTCTGTAGACCAGGCTGGCCTCGAACTCAGAAATCCGCCTGCCTCTGCCTCCCAAGTGCTGGGATTAAAGGCGTGCGCCACCACCGCCGCCCGGCATGTTTGTTTGTTTTTTAAGATTTATTTATTTTATGTATATGAGTACACTGTTGCTGTCTTCAGACACAACAGAAGAGGGCATCAGATCTCATTACAGATGCTTGTGAGTTACCATGTGGTTACTGGGAATTGAACTCAGGACCTCTGGAAACTGCAGATGGTGCTCTTAACCACTGAGCCATCTCTCCAGCCCCTGTGTACAGCATTGTTAAGTGCACACACTGCCACAAGTTACTCAGAGCAAGAGGTGATCATAGGAGAAAGAACAGGGTCAGGTTCTTGCTCAGAGTGAATATTTCAATCTCAGATGCTCCCACATAGAAATCACCTCAGGTCTCTACTCTAGCTCTGCACCTGTCACTGGGCTGCCGGAACTATGCAGTGCCCAGGTCTCACTTCCACAGGCCTAGCTCTGACCTGTCACTGGGCTGCCGGAACTATGCAGTGCCCAGGTCTCACTTCTGCAGTCTCCATTTCCCTTCCCTGGAGTAAAACATTAGGCACTAGAGAAGACCCACTTCTCCTACTGTGTCACCAGTGTTTAGAACCAGTAGTTAATTACTTATTGTATCCTGTACACGTCATCTCAGGGCCCTGGAAGTCACGTGCCTATGGATTTGGAGTTCTGGCATACAGTGAGAAAGAACTGTGTAAGACTTTGGAGTCGTATTTATCCACTAAAGAATTACACTAAACTCACGCATTTTCCTTCTTTCTTTCTTTCTTTCTTTCTTTCTTTCTTTCTTTCTTTCTTTCTTTCTTCCTTCCTTCCTTCCTTCCTTCCTTTTTTATTTTTTTAAAGATTTATTTATTTATTTCATGTATATGAGTACACTGTCACTGTCTTCAGACACACCAGAAGGGGGCATCAGATCTCATTACAGATGGTTGTGAGCCACCATGTGGTTGCTGGGGATTGAACTCAGGACCTCTAGAAGAGCAGTCGGTGCTCTTAACCACTGAGCCATCTCTCCAGTCCCAACTCACGCATTTTCACTTTGAAATTGTGTGCTACAGGTGACCTACCTGTGTTTACCAGACATCCTTCTCTGTAGAAATGATTGACCTCTCAGATGCCAGATTCAATTTAGTTGACAGGACTTCCTTCCCTGTCACCAGTCAGTCAAGTCCTCTTTAGGACTCTCCAGATGAGTCTCATCCCACCCCCACCCCACCCCTTCTCCCTCCCTTGCCTTTTTCCCTGTTTCACAGTTAGTAGGTTGCTTTCTGTCTTACTAAATTCCCCTTTGGGTGTGTTATGGTTAACCTTAAGGAGTCCATTCCCTTTTATATATTAGGGGGTGAAGGCAAGGCAGAGCATGCCTGCAGAAGAAAAGACGTGAGTCTAGGCAAGTCACAAGCAAAGTAAACATGTTCCAAGCCATCGCCTAAGCTGCGGGCTGTACAGCTATTCTAGAGAGGAGAGAAGCAAAGTCAAGTGGACTCTGGGCTGATAGAGGAAGTGGTAGCAAAGATTATAATGCACACATCAACTTTATCGTGTGTAACTGTAATAACTGTGGATGTATACTATCTGGCAAGTTACTTGCAACATAATAGTCATTTAAGAAAATACCAGCATCATAATTACCTTCATTTAACGATGAATTGTTCTGTAGAATATAAAAGCAAAAGCTTTTAAATGATGACTGTTACCTTCAGAGAAGAAAGTACAGTCACTTCCTTGTCTTGACATTTATCTTGTTTGCCTTTCCTTTATGAACTCTATTACTGGATGACTAAGTGGTCAGCCAATAGCGGAATGTTCTCTCCCTCTCCCTCGCTCCCTCCCCCTCCCCTTCCCCCTCCTCCCCTTCCCCCTTCCTCTCCTTCCCCCTTCCTCTCCCCCCTCCCCTCACCCTCCCCTTCCTCTTCCCCCTCTTCTTCCCCCTCTCCTTCCTCTTCCCCTCCCCCTCCCCCTCCTCCTTCCTCTTCCCCTCCCTCTGTCTCTCCTCCCCTCTTTCCCTCTCTCTCTCTCTCTTCCTTTTCCCTCTCCCTTCCCCCTTCCCTCCCTCTCTCCCTCCCCCTTTTAAGAACACTTACTATGCTCAGCTCAGCAGTACTGGTGCACACCTTTAATCCCAGGACTCAGTAGTCAGAAGCAGGCCGATCTCTATGAGCTTGAAGGCACCCTGGTCTACAGAGTGAGTTCCAGGACAGCCAGGGCTACACAGAGAAACCTCATCTCAAAAAACAAAAAATACAAACAACAAAAACAAAACTAAAAAACCCTCTTAGTTATAAAGTATACCAACTAAGAATTTTAGTGATGAATTATCGGTTCCATTCCCCATTGACTAATCACTGAACATCCCCTGAAGGAGAGACACCCAGCACCTCCACTGCGCCCTCTCAGGAGGAAGTAGCTTCCCAGCGCCTCTGGTTTATGATCCTGCTCCTTTCAGGAGAAAGGAGTAGGCTGAGCTGTGTGCTGACTGGATAGCTCCCGTAGTACAAATCATTATAAATGTCACGACAGACAAACAGCCTGAGCCTGCTAATGAGTGAGAGTCAAGGAAAGAAAGGGAGAATTGTGAACACTGGAGGATTAAAACCATAAGGAAATGTACAAACGTGATTTAAAGCTCGGCCTAAAGAAAGGCTGGTGCTGGAGGGTGAGGGAAGAAACCATGAGAGCCACTTAGAGAGTTCTGGATGGTGGCCGGTAGGGACCACTGGTCTCTTATGGGAACTTACTAAGTATATGCAAGTGTCTTAAGGCTTCCTGGTCTATATTTTAGTTTATAATAAAAATGGGGGTTGTTTTTTGTGTTTGCTTGTTTGTTTGTTTGTTTGTTTGTTTTTTAAGATAAGCTGGGACTGGAGAGATGGTTAAGAGGTTAAGAGCACCAGTTGCTCCTTCCAGAGGTCCTGAGTTCAATCCCCAGCACCCACATAGTGACTCATAACCAACTATGATTAGTTCTGATATGCTCTTCTGGAGTGTAGCTATACATGTAGATAGAGCACTCCTAGGCTTAAAATAAATAATTTTTTTAACGCTATAAAAGTCTGGACAATATCACAATTATTTTTCCCAAATGTAACATCTCCATATAACTATATTCCCATGTGCACACGTAGTTAGATGCTGAAGGGAGGAGTTAGAAGAACCTCACTCCACCAGCCCCGTAGCAGCCGCAACTCTTTACTTGTCAGTCCTCCTGCAGAGATGGGAACTGGTGGCGGCCATGGTGTTTGTATAGCAATCTCCCTTCCCTTTGTCTGTAATCCTATAGGGATGGCCACTGCAGGGTGGACTGTGACAAAGTGGCCAGAGATAACATGTCAGCAGTGCCTGAGCCAGGAATGTGTAGTTTGACCTGTATTGCTTACAGTACTGGAGATGCCCTCATCTCTGACCCTGAGACTTCAGAAGACCACATATAAGAATATTCTCCAGAGGCCTGGTCTTAGATTCCTCTATCTTCATATGCATCAGGTTTTTGTTTGGGGCTTTGTTTGGGTTGGGTTAGGTGTTTTTGTTTGTTTTTTGTTTTGTTTTAGTTTCCTCAATGCTTTGCTCTGCAGATAGGCTCAAAAGCACACTACAACAAGAGCCCATTTTTTAGCCAGTTTGGGGGCAGGTGGTTGATATCCAGGTCCTACAAGGGCCTCATATGGAGGTGCTCATTGTGCCCCTAATCAGCAGGGTACCAGGTTCTGACGCTATTGTCCTGTTGTTGCAGACTGTTTCAATTCTGGAGCAGCGACTGTCTTTGACAGAAGATAAGCTGAAAGACTGCCTTGATAATCAGCAAAAGCTTTTCAGTGTTGTCCAACAGAAGAGCTGAACAGGGAGCTGTCCGAGCTCAGGCCAGTCCCTGAAGACTCGTTCACACACTCAGGAGGTAGCAGAGGCCCTCCACACCCTGCCATGCCCTATTCACCATAGACTCTTCAGAGGGAGAGCAACAGAACAAGAGGGTCAAGTCATTTTCAAGGACTGACTTAAACACACAAATCAATGTCAAGGATCAAGTTTAGCTCCTCCCAGGTATAATTGCAGTAATAAAGTTATGAACATTTAAATCGCCCCCACCCCCCTCCCCTATATTATTTGAAATGTCAGCTTTTATTTAACGTGCAAATCCCCACCAGGAAGGTAAACAGACCTCTAGATTTCATTTCATTGTTAAATCATTTCAGAGTGACCATGTTCAGGCAATTCCTGAAGGTAACTAGTGTATTCTTAGGTGAGCACACCCTTGAGGGGAAACCATTCGCTTGCTTTCAAATAGTATCTGAGATGTAGAAAGCATGTTATTGAGCTGGCTCGTATTTCTTTCAGGTCAAAAAGAAAAAAAATCTGCCTTGAAAACATGTTCCCTCCGAATTTCCACACCAAAAATAATCTTATTTTGATTAGCAAGAGTGCTCACATGACAGCAGGCATTTCCTTTGTCTGGGGTAAACCCCATGAGGAGGCATGTGTGTGTCTACTGTCACAGTACGCTCTGAGCGGTCTGGGTCATACTGAACCTTTGACCACAGTTCACAGAAATCGTGTTTGTGTGGTTTCAGTGTGCTAAAAAGCCAAAATGACAAAAATATGTAGGTACACATGAATCACATATATTATTGCCTAGGGTGATTCTGGTGGCTGAAATAAGTACATTTTTATTTAGAAAATTTTGCATCATCTATGTTATTTTAATGAATTGTGATTTGAACTGAAAATGAGTCAGGCATTCTCAAAGATCTTGGTTCCAGGTTAAGAATGGTTCTCTGTCTTAAGCAAAATGGAAATCAAAGTAAAAAAAGAGGCAAGTTCAAGGCAGCTGGCTCTGGGCATGGAGAACAAAGGCCAAGCACGGCTGTGTTGCAGGGGCAGGCGCCATCTGCATGCAGAAAATGGAGAAACAGTGTCATAGGTATGGAGAGGTTGTTCTCCAAGCAGTTTCAGATGTGTGCCTCTGAGCTGTTTTTATCTTCTGTCTCGCTCTATGTTGTAAGTGCCTTCTCTGTCCTGTGAGTGTGACCCTCTTGACATTTTCATGAGCTCACAAAGTTAAGTGGCCATGTATTTTTATACCTTCATTGAGAAGAATACATAAAAAAATGAAATGTATTACTAACTTTTGTTTACTCTTTTTTTATGCTTCAAACAATAAAGACTTCTAAAAAAAAAAAAAAAAGATTAATGTCTTCTCTTTTTAAAAATATTTACAACCTTGTTGCCAACCTTGTTACTGCAGTCAGGCAGGCCCCAGTGTGCAGAGCGACCTCCTGAGGAGTTCCCAGCTCCCCCACTTCACCCCCCACCCCCACCCCCACCCCCACCCCCACCTTATCTCTAGCCCCTGTGCCTCATCAGCTGCAGAAGGGGGCCTGTGTCTGTAACAAGCTTAAGGTGATTTGGTTGCTCCTGGCCTGGGGCTCCCCTTTAGAGATCACTGATCCAGCTTCCGCTGCTTCTGACTGCCTGAGATGGCCACATACTTTCCTCATTGTCACAGAACCTTGATAAACGGTAATGATAAGACCAAAAATCCTAGCCGAGAAATGATGACGTACAACTTAAATCCCAGCACTCAGAGGCAGGCAGATCTCTTGAGTTTGAGGGCAGCCTGGTCTCCAGAGTGAGTTCCAGGACAGCCAGGGGCTATGCAGAGAAACCTTGGTCTCGGAAAAACCAAAGAGGGAAAAACAACAACAACAAAAACCCTGAAAGCTTTTCAAGAGGGTCATTTTAGTTTCCTAACCCTTTCGCCTAGCTCTTGAGAAATCACCTCTAGCAGAAGAGCAGGATCTTCTGCTTCCTAACTTAGGTATCCTCTCAGAGCTCCCAAAAGCAGCTGGGCTGCTAGCACACACATGTGTAATCCCCACACTGGCGATGTGGAAGCCGGAGAATTAGGACAACAAGGCCAGCCTGGGCTACGTGAGACCTATCTCAAAACCTTTTTGTGGAGACAGAGTCTCAATTATGGAGCCCTAAGCTGGCTTGGAACTTGCTATATGGACCTGGCTTGCCTCGAATTCAGAATATCTACCTGCCTGTGCCTCCTAAGGGTTGGTATTAAAAGCATGAACCACCATGCTTAGAAAACCAAAAACCAAAAACCTCTTCTTAGGCATCAATCACCAAATGTCATCCCGGAACACCACCTCACTAGGAGCTCTTTGGCTCATCTCCACAGCCTCAGGAGTGACCAGATCCAACACTTGGTTGGAGACATTCTAACCACTTTGTCTCACATACAGCTGAGCCCTTCAGGAAGGCTTTTCCAAGTATACAAAACACCCAGTCCCTCCTTACCACCTCCATCACCCGAATAATCCAAACCGCTATCATCTCTTGCCTACAGGTGACCCATAACTTGTCTCCCTTCCTGTCACCCCTTCTCATGCTCACACAGCTGGCCCGTGTGGTCCTAGAAGAGCAAGCGCCAAAGCACCTGTCTCACCCCACGGTGGCACAGACCTACAATCTGAGTGTTCGCCAGGCTGAGGCAGGAGGTCGGCTGGGTTACCAAGAGAGACGTGTCTAAAAAGCTATTGCAACCAAGCATGGGTCCATCTCACTAACAAAGTAAACGCTAATAAAGAAGACTAGTAAAGTCTAGTAAGACTGGTAAAGGCGCGGGGCGGTGGTGGCACACACCTTTAATCCCAGCACTTGGGAGGCAGAGGCAGGCGGATTTCTGAGTTCGAGGCCAGCCTGGTCTACAGAGTGAGTTCCAGGACAGCCAGGGCTACACAGAGAAACCCTGTCTCGAAAAATCAAAAACAACAAACAAACAAACAAACAAACAGAAAAACACTGGTAAAGGCTCATGTCTTAACTGCACATTATCTGCCCACCCCCAACCCTAGTACCCCTTCCCTCTGGGTAATCATCAGTAAGTTTACCCCCTCCCTTATCCCCATCCGGCCTTGGGCCTCCCCTTGATTGGAATTGTCTGCCTTGAGGTAGTTCTCCATTCAGTTTCACTTCGGGACTCCCAGACTGAAATAGGAACCCTCCCTGTTTATCCCACACCCCAGCCTGGCTTCCTCTAATGTGCATACTATCTGATCTACCTGTTCCCGCAGACCTGTCTTCCAGGCAGGAGTTCGGCCTGCCACTCCCTAATAGAACCCGAGAGCTGAAAACAAGGCCCAGACTTGTAGTGAGCCTGCTCGTGGTCGCAGGGATTTCAAGACCTACGAAAGCAGCTCTTCACATGCCAGTCTCTCCCTCCTCTACTCATGCCGTGGCTTCTGAGAAGCGAGCCCGAACAGCCCAGGGCCAGAATCCAAATGTTAAGTGAGTTGGTGAGAGGCTCTGAGTCCTTGGGATGTCAGGGATCAAAGGAAAACACTTAAGGAACCACTTAAGTCTGGGAATTACAAGTACGTGCCACCATGTACAACGTTTTTTGTTTGTTTGTTTGTTTGTTTGTTTGTTTGCTTTTTCGAGACAGGGTTTCTCTGTGTAGCCCGGGCTGTCCTGTAACTCACTCTGTAGACCAGGCTGGCCTCGAACTCAGAAATCTGCTTACCTCTGCCTCCCAAGTGCTGGGATTAAAGGCATGTGCCACCACTGCCTGGCTCAGTATTTTTTTTTTTTTAATGAACAGATAATTATATGTATTTGTGAAGCTTACAGTGATAGTCAGTGAATGTATATAATAGAGAATATTCAAACCAGGTTAATTAACTTTTCCATCCCCTTAAGCATCGATTGCTTCTTGTTTTGTTTTAATTTTGTTCTACATACTTGTTGTTCGTGCTATTAGATTCTATGAGGACATTTTCATGCAAGTATATATTATATATATTCTCTATATGCTCACTCCCCTGCTATTATTTATTTGGGTGGACAGTAACTCAAGAATCAGGCTTCACCGCACTATAAAATGTTTGTGTTTCACCCAGCAACACAAAAGAAAACATTTACAAGCTTTAGAGGAAGCAAGAAAGGAAACGGAGCTGGGCGGTGGAGGTACACACCTTTAATCCCTGCACTTGAGAGGCAGAGGCAGGCAGGTCTCTGTGAATCCAAGGGCAGACTGGTGTGTTCAGCGAGTTCCAGGACAGTCATGCAGAGAAAACCCTGTCTTGTTAAAATATATATGATATATATATCATATATATATATTCACCATAAAGATGGTTTCTGGTTGGCTAAGTCTTTAGGGTATGATTGCTCTCCCAGTTGTTCTCAGAGATGCTCAGGGTACCAGCACTGCCTCAGTCTAATGCTCTGTTATTTCAGCCAAAGATAGTTTGTTAGTTTGATCTCATTTCTTGGTGGATTATTTCTAATTTTAACTTTTTAAAAATTATTTATTTATTTTATGTATATAAATACACTGTAGCTGTCTTCAGACACACCAGAAGAGGGCATCAGATCCCATTAAAGATGGTTGTGAGCCACCATGTGGTTGCTGGGAATTGAACTCCAGACCTCTGGAAGCACAGACAGTGGTCTTAACTCCTGAGCCATAGCTCCAGCCCTAATTTTAAGTTTTAAGACTAGTTTTTTTTTTCCCCAAAACTGTACAGAAGAAAATTGTTTAGATCATACATGCCAGAAATCCCAGCACCCGGGAGGCTGAGGCAGGAAAGTCACAGGTTTGAAACCAGCCTGGACTTCCTTGGGAAGCCCTATCACCAAACAAAGCAAGGAGAAAAGATTTAAAAGTTGGGTTAATGAACTTGGTGGGATATAGAAAAAAAGAATTGTGGGTGAAATTTGATTTTTGTGCTAATCAACAGGGAATTCATATAACTAGTGTGAAGAATGGCAAACGTGATACAGTCCAACTTTCAGGATTAATTGTATGGTGGCATCTCTGGGCTTCACAAAGGATCTACAGTGCAGGGACAGACTTGAGCTGCTGCTTGCTGACAGAGATAAGCCACTTACCCCCGGGGAAGAACCGGTGTCCAGCTACTGCCGAGTCCTTTCACTTGATTCACAGATATTTTTTTCTTCCTAATTCTTGAGTCATCTAGTGATGCATAAAAGATAGAGATTTCATACCAAAACCTAGGTTCTAGCTTGTCTTGGTGTACTGAAGACCTGCCTGCAGAGAACCTGTTTCCTCCTCTAGCTGAGGCAAAGGGGTTACTGTTGTGGAAAAGACATATCCACTTCCTGTGGACTATACACACACACACACACACACACTCATATACACACACATTCACACACATGCACATACACACATACATACACATATACACTCACACACATACACTCACATGTATACACACAGACACATACACACACATGTTTGCTCACATGAACAAACACACATATATGCTCACACAAATACATTCACACATGTATACACAAATACACACACATACACTCACATGTATACACACATACACACACTCATATACACATACATTCACACACATGCACATACACACATTCATACACATATACACTCACACATACACTCACATGTATACACATACATACACATACATACACATGTTCGCTCACATGAACATACACACATATATCCTCACACAAATACACTCACACATGTATACACAGATACATACACACACATGTTCACTCACATACACACATTCATACACATACATACTCAAACACAGAAACTCACTTGCATACACAAACACTGCACATACATGAGTATATATATGATATATATATATATGATATTCATACACACACACATATATACATACACCCTGCTTGATACTATCATCTGACGCGCCATATCCAGGCAGTCACCTCCTGATCCCACCCTTTATCTGTCTGCAGTTCTGCTCTAACTCTTTCTCCTATTCTCCAGCTCCTGTCCCGAGCTATGCATCTCTTTCTTAACCCTGCCTGACTTTTCACCAGTCTGTCTCACCCGCTCTTACACTGAGCCCGCTGTCACCACACTCAACTTTCTTTGCCTTGGAAACTCATGCTCACCTTTTTGAAAAGCAGCTCAGCCCACCTCACCGGGGAGTGAGGAGACAAACTTTCAGTTGCTTAGCAACTCCTGCTCTTCCAGAGGACCTGAGTTTGGTTCCCAGCATGCATGTCCTATGCACCCAGCCACTTACAACTCTCCCTCTGGAGAGCCTCTCCCCCTCATGCACACAGAGACCTCTAAGTGGCTTGTATTCCATAGGATTCCTTTCCTGTTGCTTCTCTGGCATTCTCTCT